GCTGGGATTACAGGCGTGAGCCACCGCGCCCGGCCATCTTTCTTTCTTTAGACAGAATTTTGCTCTGTTCCTCAGGCTGGAGTGCACTGGTGCAATAACAGCTCACTGCACCCCTGACCTCCTGGGCTCAAGCAATTCTCCCATCTCAGCCTTCTGAGTAGCCAGAACTATACGCACACCACTACACCTAGCTTTTTCTTTTGCTAGGTTTAAAATTGTTTCCTTAAGGCCGGGCGCAGTGACTCACGCCTGTAATCCTAGCACTTTGCGAGGCCAAGGCGGGTGGATCACGAGGTCAGGAGATCCAGACCATCCTGGCTAACACGGTGAAAACTCATCTCTATTAAAAATACAAAAAAATTTAGCTGGGCGTGGTGGCGGGCGCCTGTAGTCCCAGGTACTCCAGAGGCTGAGGCAGGAGAATGGGGTGCACCCGGGAGGCGGAGCTTGCAATGAGTCGAGATCGCGCCACTACCCTCCAGCCTGGGCGACTGAGCAAGACTCTGTCTCAAAAAACAAAACAAAACAAAACAACAAAAAATTGTTTCCTTAAAAAAAAAATTGCCCAATCTTTTCTTTTTCATAGTGTCTTGTCCACTTCGTACAGTTTCTACAGTAAAAAAAACCTCTCTCTTTTTAAATTTTTTTATTTTTTGAGACGGAGTCACTCTGTCACCCAGGTTTGAGTGCAGTGGCTTGTTCTCGACTTACTGCAACCTCCGCCTCCTGAGTTCAAGCAATTCTCCTGCCTCAACCTCCCAAGTTACTGGGATTACAGGTGCCCACCACCACACCCAGCTAATTTTTGTATTTTTAGTAGAGATGGGTTTCACCATGTTGGTCAGGCAGGTCTCGAACTCCTGACCTCAAGTGATCCACCTGCCTCAGCCTCCCAAGGTGCTGGGATTCAGGCATGAGCCACTGTGCTCAGCAAGAAATAAATCTCCTTAAACTTTTTTTTTTTTTTTTTTTTTTGACAGAGTTTTGCTCTGTTCCCCAGGCTGGAGTGCAGTGGTGCAACCTTGGCTCACTGCAACCTCTGCCTCCTGGGTTCAAGCAATTCTCATGCCTCAACCTCCCAAGTAGCTGGGATTACAGGTGCCCACTACCACGCCCGGCTAATTTTTGTATTTTTAGTAGAGATGGGTTTCACCATGTTGGTCAGGCCAGTCTTGAACTCCTGACCTCAAGTGATCCATCTGCCTCAGCCTCCCAAAGTGCTGGGATTCAGGTGTGAGCCACTGTGCCTGGCCACATTCTTGTACATATGTTCTTATGGGCTAATTCTTTTAGTTCTTATAAGGTAGAGTCCTATAAGTTGGACTTGTGTGAAATGTATGTGCATTCTGAAAGTGAAAAGCTATTGTGAGGTAACTTTTTAAAAAATGCTATAGAATGTCAAACTTTCCTTAGCCATGTATGAGAATGCCCATTTCCCTGAGTCCTTGCCAGTACCACGGGAGCTGTTGTAGCCTTCTCTCAGCTTGGCGTGAGAAAGAGCCTGCAGCACTTTAACCTGGGTAAGCTTCCAAGAGGTCCTTGGGTAGTGGAAGTGGAGGAGGTAGAGAGAGGATACCTCAAGAGGGATATGTTGGACTACTTCTAATTGGGCAAGTGGTTCTTTGTATAATTAATTTTGAAAAGTGAAAGAAAATTCGTAAAGTTTGTGAAGCAGGTGTCATCAGTTATGGAAGATCTACTTCATACTAAAGTTTGGATCTATTCATCTTTTAAAGCGTATGCTTTTAAGTCACGCACCAGGTGTCAGTTGGTTCATAAAGATAATTCCAAAGCCCCCATTAAAGTGATTCTAGTAACTGTTCACTTGTTCTGACATTGTTGGAGCTTTAATTCCGTTAATTCAGTTTTGGCCTTACTCTTTGAATCCACCTCTCAATTCTTATTCTCAAAGGGATTGACTTTGTTAACTATTCTGTCTGGCTTAGGCTCAAGACTTTCCCCTTTCAGAATGTTGACCTTGTTCTTCTCTCCCAGTTTTTTACTCTATTGGGCTGTGACCCTTGATTGCACCATGTTGGCCACCCCTAAGTTCTATTCCTGGTCCACGTGTGATGAGCTGGGGTTGGAGGAGAATAGCCATCTAGCTGATACAGAGCAGGTGAGCTCTAAAATTGGTGCTTAGCCTGGGAGTGTTCTTGGCTTTGCCCAGGAAAGAATTCAAGGGTGAGCTGGTGGTGTTAGACAGCAGCGTTTATTGAAACAGCAGTATGCAGCAGCAGCCGAGGTACCACTACTTATGGAGCAAGGCTACCCCATAGGCAGTGTGCCCAGAGCAGCAGCTCAGAGGCAGCTCTGCAGTCACGTTTATACCCATTTTAATTATACGCAAATTAAGGGACAGATTATGCAGACATTTCTGGAAAAAGGGCGATAACTTCTGTGTCATCAGGTCATTGCCACTGAAAGGGGTGGTAACTTCTGGGTGTTGCCATAAACAATGGCAAACTGACATATGTCTGATGGAGAGGTGCTTCTGTCCCTTCTCTGTTTTAGCTAGTCCTCAGTTTGGTCTGGTGTTGGAGCCCTGCTTTCTGAGTTGAGTCCCATCTCCTACTCCTTACCTGTTGAAACCTGTGTTTCATTTGCTATCATGGAAGATAGCACAGGAAGTTAAGGAGAAGATATATTATAAAGATGCATGTTATCTTGAGAACATTCATATGTGAAATTAACATTGATGTTTTTGAATGAATGGTAAGGGAATGGAGAGAACTGGCTGATGACCAGTAAGATAATGAAGCTGTGAGTTTCAAGCAGAGAGTGTTTAGCAGAAAAAAAAAGTTATATTGGGCAACATTTTGCAGCTTATTTTGATAGTTTTTAAATTAGAGGAAATGCAGTAGATGTTATATGCGTAAATGTTAGCAACACATTTCAAACAGTGTTTGGAAATTTTACTAGTGAAATTTAAGATGGCTTGGAATTAGAAACAGTCACATGGTTTGCAATCTGCTTAAAAGACTGCAAATTGCAAATGGTATTGTTTAGTAGTTGGCTGAGAACCTTAACAGAGGTTGTAGAGTCTGAAAATTATCGCTGGCATCTCTAATTTTTAAGAAAAATGTCTGGGAATTTCAGGAGTTTCTAAGCAAGTATATTTGTAAGAAAACAAAATAATTTCTGTCCTCTGGGGAATCTCAAAGTGCTGAGAGCTGACTTCTTAACAAAGTGGTGGGAGTGGACAATGCTTTATGAAGACAGACATTTTATTTTCAGCTGTGGCAACCAGCCTGGCCCTAAAAGATGCTCTGTAGCATTTAATTCTCTTTGTGGTGGCTGATGGCTTCCTACTCTGTGTGTTGTAGGGATTTAGAAAGGTTTTCCTGTAAAATAGGGTTGTCTGTATTCCAAATCCTTGTGGGTTACTTTATGTAAATTATTCCATTTGTTTTCTTGAATAACTTTTGGTATTGTTTGCCTGTTGTATTGATGTTATTTTCAATGATTAAAAACAACACAATTTCAGGACAGGCGCAGTGGCTCACACCTGTAATCCCAGCACTTTGGGAAGCTGAAGTGGGTGGATCACTTGAGGCCAGGAGTTTGAGACCAGCCTGAGCAACATGGTGAAACCCCGTTTCTACAAAAAATACAAACATAGCTGCGTGTGGTGACTACGCACCTGAAGTACCAGCTATTTGCAGGGCTGAGACAGGAAAATTGCTTGAGTCCAGGAATTTGAGGCTGCAGTAAGCCATGATCGTGCCACCTCACTCCAGCCTGGATGACAGAGAGACCCTGTCTCAAACAAAAAACAACAACAAAATTCTGAACCATTGATCAGCGTTTGTCTTTTTTATTGTAACAGACAATACCTCTGTATTCCAGGGAAATTGCTTCCCGCTTGTTTTCTGCCTGTTTCCCCCACTCCGTCATTGATTTTTATCTATTCTTAGAGCAATCTTAAAGGATATATTGACCAAAAAAACATTCATAATCCCATCGCTCTACCTTAGAAACATTCAGGGAGCTACATTTTTTCTGAGTTACATTTGTTAACTTTGTCCATGTGTAATTAGAGTCTACAATTTTGTTTCTTGCTTTTTTTATTCTACTTAAAACTGTCAAGAACATTTCCTCACGTAGCTACAAAGTCTGTCATCGTCATCTTTATCATCACCACATGGTTTTAAGATTAAATGATATTCTGAAAAGATGAAAGAGCAAATTTACTTAGCCACTTTGTGGAAACCATCCTAAAATGCAGTGGGAAGGTCCTCATCCTTTTCCCCAAAGGTACATAGGTCTGTTGGTTTCTATTCAGAAGAGCGAGGCTACTTTTCAGGAAGTGACTTGGAGGAATACCAGGCGCTGAGTCAGTTTACTGTCTAGCTCAGAGACAAATTAAAAAAAAAATTGTATTCTAAAAACAAATAAACTATCGCAGAAAATTTGGAGAGAAAAATCAGTTTTAATTTCACCTTTCATACTACCATTGTATTATTTCTTTTCACTTTTTTTTTTTTATTAGTACACCCTCCTTCCCCAATTTGGTTTCTTTTCATTCCTTGTCTTTTGTTTTTTAAAAAAGTGGAAGAATATATGAAAACATTCTTACTGTAAAATATTAAGAAAATTGTTAAGTGGATAGGAAACAGTAAAGTTCCCCTTCTTTCTAGCACACTCATCTCCCCGCTCTAGGGATAAGTTACTGCTGTTTGGTGAGCATAATTCCCATTTTATTTCCATGCGGTTTCATATATGCTAGTATATTTGTAGGACATTATTTATTTTTTTTTACATTTGTATTTATTTATTATTACTTATTATTTATTGTCCTACGAATAGGATCATTGGTATATTATTGTGTATCTTGCTCTTCCTGTTTGCGGTATATCCTAGAGCTAGTTTCCTGTTAGTACTACATTATTCTCTTTTACAGCCACTTAGTAATCTGTAGAAGGAATTATGTCAGAATTTAAAATTATTTCCTCTATTGATGGACATTTAAGTTTATTTCTTTTTTTTTCCTATAACAGACAATGCTGCGATGAATACACCTGTGCATTCTTTTTTAGAACAAGTGTAAGGATTCCTATGTGGTAAGTCTCTTTAAATAGAATTTCAGGTTCACATGATAGATGTGTTAAGTTTGAGCAATGTTGCCAAACTGCCTTGAACTGTACCCTCTGTTAATAGTATATTGGGATATTTATTTCCTTTCATTCTTGTCAATTTTCATACTATAAAACTTAAACATGTTTGACAATCTGACTGGAAATTCCTTTATATTGTTTTAATTTACTTTCCTTTGCATTATGGTAGATATCTCTAATTGTCCTCTAGTATGTACCTTCTTCCTTTTAGTGGTTAAAGACTACATTTCTTAGCTGTCTTTGCAGCTTGCTGTGGTCATGTGACTTAGTTCAGGCCAATGGGATGAAAGCAAAATGATGTATGGGCTTGCCTCCGTCTTCCCCTTTTCCTCTTTCCAGCAGCTGGAAAAGTGCTGACCAGAGCATTGTTGAAGGCCATATAGTAAGAATGGCAAAGCTTCCCTACCAGCCCAACTGACTGTTTTGTGGCACAGAGCCCGTCTATTACGTGAGAGAGCAATAAATATCTTTTTTTGGCCTAAGAGGAGTCTTGCTGTGTTGTCCAGGCTGGCCTCAAACTCCTGGCCTAAAGCTATTCTCCCGCCTCAGTCTTCCAAATAGCTGGGACTACAGGTGTGTGCCACCATGCCCAACTCAATAAACGTCTATTTTTATTGAGTCCCTGTGTGAGGTCTTTTTATTTTCTTCTAATGTATTGGACATTTCTTTTAAAATGTATTGGACATTTACACTTTTTCTTCCATGACTTGCTTGTTCAAACCATTTGCTTGTTTTTCAGTTAGGTTTTGCTTTTTCCATATTTTAATGGGTATTCTTCAAATATTTTGGAAATTTCTTCATTGTTAAAATGTAATCCCAGCACTTTGGGAGGCCAAGACGGGTGATCACAAGGTCAGGAGATCGAGACCATCCTGGCTAACACGGTGAAACCCCGTCTCTACTAAAAAATATAAAAAACTAGCCGGGCGAGGTGGCGGGTGCCTGTAGTCCCAGCTACTTGGGAGGCTGAGGCAGGAGAATGGCGTGAACCCGGGAGGCAGAGCTTGCAGTGAGCTGAGATCCGGCCACTGTACTCCAGCCTGGGCGACAGAGCGAGACTCCATCTCAAAAAAAAAAAAAAAAAAAAGAGTTGTAATTTTTTTTTCTGTTTGTCTTCAACCTTATGGTGTCTTTCCAGAGAGAACAGTTATAATTTTTTTTTAAAAATGAGCATGTGTTCAATCTTGTAGTTGATTAATTTTTTAAATGAAGGAAATGGTAAGATATTATAAGCAGTTGAAAGGATAATCCAACAGACATATTTATATTTCAGAAATATTGAAATGAAAGTGCAAATGGAAAAATAACTGGCTTCCTGCACAATGGAAGAGGAAAATCAATGGAACCTTCACTGAATATAATTTACTTTCATGTTTATACAAGAATTATTTTGCATTAATATCAGTTATCTACAACTTACAGAGTTGTAAAGTAACTCAAAGGAAATGATAGAGTTAGATTTAGATTACCTGTAAGAGTGTGCACTAAAAATGCATAGCTTTTTATTACAGACACCAAGTCCTCTTTTCTGCCTATTCCAAAGTTCCTTACATTGTCACATTCTGGTTGATAGGTTGCTTACATTTCTGATTACTTACTGTATATTTGTGAATCTTTTCCCCACAAGCTACAGATTGAGCATCTCTATCTTGTACTATTTTTGTCTTCCCATTTTTCCAAATATAGTATTAGAAGAAAAACTGGTGCTTCTTAACTATAATACTTAGTGTAATTAACTTACTGAAACTGTAAGTTATTGGTCAACCACAATGACTGTTTGATCTTCATGACATGTTCCAACTACATGCATGCATGTTTTACTATGCAGTTTTTACTATGCATTCATAGTTTATAAATGCCCTTGGAGATCTATGGAAAGTGAAATTTTAAATTTTAATGAAGCCAGCTCTGAAAATCTTATACTTTATGACATCTACATTTTATATGTTCTTAGAAAAAACTATTCTACTCTAGAATTATAATCTTTTTCTTACCCCTAGTAGATTTTTTTCAAAAAATTGTCCTAATCCCTTTGGAGTTAATTTTGGAAAAGATATGAAATAAGGGCTACTTTTATTTTACTTTTACAAATAGATATTTATTGTAGCACTAGATATTGAATAGTTCATCCTTCTTCACTGATTCGAAATGCCAACATTTTATATAGTAACCACTCACATGTACACATGGATCTGTTTCTGGATATCTCTTCTAGTCCATTACTTATTTATCGTCGGTTGAGTCATCAATAGTCTGTTACTTAGATATTGTTACTTATGAAAAATTTCAAGCATACATAAAATAGAGAAAATAGTACCATAAATACAACGTATCACTATCTCAGTTTCAGAAATTATCAACATTTCCTTACAATTGCATACTCTATCCCTTTTCTCTCTCTCTGGTTGCTGTACTGTTTTAAAGCACATCTCAGACATGCCATTTGACTCCTGAATACCTCCATATACAGCTCTGAAATAAAAAATTATGGCATTTTCCTATATAACTGTAATACCATTATCACCTCTGAAAATTAAGAGTAACTCCTTAATGTTATTGAAGTTCCTACCTACGTTCAGATTTCTCTGGTATAACACACTATTTTAAATATCTCTATCGACATAGGATGCTTTTATACCTTGCAGGGCAAGTCTCCCTTGCATTATTCTTTTAAAAACATTTCTTTGCTCTTCTCGCATATTATTTTCTGTGCCAGAAAATTATTTCCAATCACTCTGTCAAATTTCATAACAAGTTCTGTAGAAATTTTGCTTTCAATTATATTAAATTTATAACTTAATTTGTGGGAGTTTTACAGTATTGACAGCTTTACAGTATTGATTCAATTCATTCAGAAACGTAATGTCTCTCCATTTATCTAGGCCTTCTTTCATGGCTTCAGTAAAGAGTTAGAGTTCTTTTTCACAGGCAGGTTACATTTACTTGTGTTTGCCTCCTCTGTGTTCTTCCATTTCTCTTGCTTTCTTTTGGATTGTATTAAAACTGTTTGGACTTCCATTTTAATTTATCTATTAACTTTTTAGCTATTACTCTTTGTGTTACTTTTTATATTACTCTTTGTATTACTTTTTAAATAGTTCCTCTAGGGCTTACAACATACATCTTCAAATCTTCACAGTTGGAGTATTGTACTACTACAACTAATGGGAGTTAGTATCGTACTACTTTATGTAAACCCTAAAATCTTGCAACTGTATAGCTCCAATTATGCCTTCTCATCCATTATGCTATGTAGTTGTCATATGTGTTGCCTTTGCATATGTTATGGATCACATGTCATGATTTTTAAAACTTTTTTTGTAGTTGAAGAAAGAGAAAAATATTATGTTATATTTACCTATATATTTGCCGTTTCCAATGTTTGTTACTAATTCCTGAAGATCTAAATTTTCATTACATTTGGAATCATTTTTTTCCTTTAGCGTTTCTTATAATATGATTCTGTTGGTTCTTAGTTTCTTTCTTTCTTTTGTTCTTTTCCTTTCTTTTTCTTTTCTTTTTCTTTCTTTTTTTTTTTTTTTTGTTGAGACAAGCTCTTGCTCTGTTGGCCAGGCTGGAGTAGTGCAGTGATGCAATCACAGCTCACTGTAGTCTTGAACTTTTGGGTTCAGGCAATCCTCTCACCTCAGGCTGCTGAGCAGCTGGGGCCACAGGTGTGTGCCACCATGCCCAGCTATTTTTTTATTTAAATTTTTTGTAGAGACAGGGTCTCTCTGTGTTGCCTAGGCTGGTCTTGAACTTCTGGGCTCAAGCCATCCTTTTGCCTGGGCATCCCAAAGTGCTGGGATTACAGGTGTGAGCTATCATGTCCAAGTCTTAGTTTTCTTCTGTCTGAAAATATCTGTTTTTTGCTTTCATTCTTGACATGATGAATATTATAGAATACTTGGTTGATAGGTTTTTCTGAAACATTTTAAAGATACTGTTGCATTATCTTTTGGCCTTTATGATTTATGATGTCAGTAGTCATTCAAATAATTGTTTGATGTGTATATGTGTCATTTGTAGCTGGCCACTTTAAAAATTTTATTTTTTTTTGGTTTGCAGAAGGTTGATTATGATCTTCCTAGGTGTGGATTTTTAAATTCTTTTTGGGATGCATTGAGCTTCTTGAATATATAAATTTACTTATTTTATCATATTAAGAAAATTTTGGTCATAATTTCTTAAAACATTTTTCTGCTCCATTCTCTCTCCTTCTTTTGTGCAACTCCAATTACATGGATGTTAAACCTTTTGATATAGTCCCACATATCACTAAATCTCTGTTTGTTAAAAAATGTTTTTCTCTGTGCTCTTCAGATTGTATAATTCTATTGATCTATTTTTAACCTCATTTTTGCTTTTGTCCATCTTCCTCAATTTGCTGTAATTGTTTTCCAGATATTGTATTATTCAGTTTTAGTATTTCCATTTTTTCTGTAGTTTTTATTTATCTGCTGAGAGTTTCTGTCTTATCATTTATTGTGAGCACATTTTCCTTTATACCCTTAAGCATAGTTATAATAGCATTTTAAAATGCTTCTCTGCTAATTTAAACATCTGGATCATCTTGGGGTTTTGTATTTATCAATTTTTTTCATGAGAATGAGCCACATTTTCTGTTTATTTGGGTATCAAGTAATTTTTTATTGTCTGTTGGGCATTATAAATATTATGCTATGGAGATCTAGATTTTGTTATAATCCTATAAAGAACCTTGATGTTATTGTTTTAGCATGCAATGTATTTGGTTTGACTCAAATTATAAGCATCGCGTCCTTGTGTCTTTGGTGACAGATCAAATTTCAGTTTAGTTCTTTTGGCCTTAGCTGGCTGCTGAAGTCTGTCCACGTATGTGTGGTCCAGGGGTTAGGCAGGGATTTAAGTAGAGTTTATACACGAAAGTTAAGGCACTACCTCTGTGACTCTCTCTTTACTGGTAT